GTAGTTTGATTTGCCACTTCTCGTTTCCTTCTTTTTTTTTCTTTTCCATCCCACTCTCTCACACCAATTTGTCTGTATCTGCTTGTTTCCGGTAGAAATTCTTTCCGAGGATCTTCAGCGAAACGAGTCCTTTCTTGATTAAACCAGTTTATTCTTCTTCGATACCAACATTTAGTACACTGTAGTTCCACAATCAGTACGTTTCTCGTCACTTTAAACTTAACAACTTTTATAATACACGCTATAAATCACTGCGATTCACAATCTCGATTATTTCGCTCTCAAGGAGTACAAAACCCACATTAAACGGCTCTCTAGCTCGAAACTAACAGAATCATAAATTACACGGAACTCAAAGTCATTCATCCCTGCTGGCTTTCTCTGCCAGGCTTATATACTAACGAAGAGAGCATCTCGAACACACTCGAACTTTCCCGATCATTCGAGAAACTCATTACACACGCTACCAGCGCCAGCAGCGTCACGTGACTTCTGACATTAGGGATGGCTAGCGCAGATAGCCCTTGAGTAGCTTTGCGCGAAATTCAAAACAAACCAATCTTAATGGTATAAGGAAATATTTTTTTTTAAATTATCAACCTCCCCAGTATGAGAATTTTAACATTTGCTCTTTAAGTCTTTGTTATAACAGCTGTTATGGCATAGTTAGAATGCCATAAAAATTATGATACTTATAGGATATTGTCTGCTTTTTACGTGTTATTAGATGCATTATTTAAGTGAATAAAATAAATATTTAGTGCTGTAGTTTGTTTGTATGTAGTTAAGCACAAAGGTACACAAAGGACTATCTGTGCTCTGCCCACCACGGGTATCGAAACGCGGTTTTTAGTGCTGTAAGTATAAGCAAGTAGGGTTACGTTTCATCGATAGTCGACAGCAAAAAAAAAAAGACATAGGTAAGTACTGTATTTCTTGTTTAAGTTGTTTTTTATGTGCATTTTTTGTTATTATAGAATAATCTAAAATGTAAAAGTTAGAAAATTATTAGGTTAGCTAAATTAAGATAAAAATAATGATACAAAACATTTTTTACTAGCAGCTCGCTAGTAGCTTATGCGTTATTTAATTCGATAGGATAACATCAGCTACACGTTCGCCCAGTGATTTATAATTAGTGTGGCGGGTTAAAGGGTTCAAAGGGCAACAAAACAATAACATTTAAGTACAAACAGATGTATACTGATACGAACTTTAAGCTGTTTAGGATAACGAAATGTAGTTTTCTGTTACAATTTGAATTCATTCTAGAAAAAAGGCCCGGCATGGCCAGGTGGTTAAGGCGCTGGACTCGCAATCTGAGGGTCGCGGGTTCGAATCCACGTCACACCAAACGTGTCGCCCTTTCAGCCATGGGGGCGTTATAATGTGACGGTCAATCCCACTATTCGTTGGTAAAAGAGTAGCCCAAGAGTTGGCGGTGGTTGGTGATGACTAGCTGCCTTCCCTCTAGTCTTACACTGCTAAATTAGGGACGGATAGCGCAGATAGCCCTCGTGTAGCTTTGCTCGAAATTCAAAAAACAAACAAACATTCTAGAAAGAAAGAAAAAGGGTGATTTAGATTTATTTCTTATTTTTTACGGTGATTACGAGGTCAGTCAAATTGATCAACTCTGTAAAGAGTTAGGGTAGAGAAAATAACAGATAAAATATAGAGTTTTGCTGAGAAAAAACGTTTGAATTTAATTTATGAGGTTTTAGAGATTATGCAATGCAATTTATCAATTTTCAGATGAAGAAAACTATTTCAAATCTTAACATGAAAATCACTTTGCACTTGGAACAGTCAACACTTTGATTCCATATATTCATGGAGAAATTTTTAGTAAAAATAAATTATTCAGGTTTTTGTCCATAAAAGACTTATAATGTTTACTGAAAGCTTGAGAAATTTCGTGAAAATGCACAAAACATTTTAGAAGTTATAGTATGGAAACTAAAGATCAATTTGGGGTCACGAACTAGGACCCTGGCTTCATTGTTATCCATGTTCACCTTGACAGGATTCCTCCTAATTCAGAGAAGCTCACGACAGCACCATGATTCACAGTCTTCACCATTTGATGGTTTTGACTAGAACTTGGGTGGGTTAATCTGACTGGCAAAGATCTGGGAGTCCTTCACAGATAGCTCCATCTTGTCTCAGACTCATCAGACACCACACCACCTTGAGGACGCTTAGTTGTCCATACTCTTCTTACATTAAGGTCCATCCTTAAGGGGAGAAGTCAATCAGCCATTCTGAGTACATTAGATTCTGACACTTCTCATTCTTGAGTATGTGGCAGCAACGAGAAAAAGTAATAGACCTTTGCAGTATTAGGATAAGTCCGACATCCAGGACTTCTACATCTGACAACCCTCTCACAAAACTATCTGCCTACATGCAGTAACGAACACTCCTTCTTGGTTATAAGTCCCTTGAATTGTGGGAAATCCTATTTCGTTAAACATTAAGCATTTTCCATAATAATAACACATTAGTTGAAGTAAAGGTCTATACACACGCCAACAGAACATTCCATAAAAAATATCCTGTGGTCACAGCACTAAAAATTTCCCCCTCTCTCTGTGGTATTTTAAGGCCAAATTGATGTGTATTAGAGTGATGGAACAGGTCTGCAGAATAATAGTAGATTCGAAAAGATATTTATTATGAAGTAATTCTGAGTTCTCTGACTGATTGAGTTTGAGAAAGAAAGAAATTGAGCACAATGTAAAACACACAGTAACAGCAATCTTCATTTACACTCAAAAATAATAAAAATAATGTGTGCACACATACACACACAAAAAGAAAAGGACAGTGCTTTTGCTAGATAGCAACCTATCGAAACTTTCCTAACTAGGTCTAAAGACATTTATTTAGAACTGATTAATGTTACAGGTTAAAGAAAGGACTCAAACTTTACTTAGAAATTCAGAGCCTGAGTTTGAGAAATAGCTAAAAGTTCACAGTATTGTATACCCAATTCTATAATACTGTTACGTCTCCGTTTGTTAATTAAATTTCCGTAACTTCGTTCCGACGAAACTTTAGCGACACAAGTCCTTACTTAATAAAACTGGTTTATTCTTTCCGAATATAACTTTACGATACATT